CAATGAAATCTGACGTGGTCTCATGGTGCCTGGGACATACTGGCCTCCCGTAAGCATCCCGCATGCAGTTTCTGAAGTACAGAGCTCAGTGCCTGGGTTCAGAGAAAAGGGGCCACACACCCCCAATGTTGCATCAGTGACCAGACCACATGCTGAAGAAACACCCTGACTGGAGGGGGAAGTAGGGGGACAGACGATGGGGGAGACGGAAGACCCTCAGAAGCTGAATGCACATTTAACGTCCCGAACCAAGCGGGGAAACGTGGAGCAGAGGCTGCGAATCCCCTAAACTAACAGCATCCACAGGCTCAGGAATTCCAGCCGAGCCTACACGGACAAACACAATGAAAACTGCCCCAGACATGTCACAGCAAAGCTGCGAGAGCCAGGGACAGAGACACGATAAGTGCAGCCGAGAAGGCCACATGCGACCTGTGACTGGCTGGAGGAATAGCTCCCACCCCGGTGCTCAGAAACATTGCTCGAAATGGAGATAAAGACACTTTTAGACAAACAAAAACTGAGGGGATTTAAAAGAACAACTAAAGTAATAAAAGAACAGCTAAAGAGAGATCGCAGACGGAGGGAAAATAATCCCAGGCAGAAACACGAAGGGGCAGGAGAGACTCACGAGCGCGACAGGGGGCGTGTGCGGTGGGGGCGCGAGTGCCCACTGTGTGCGGCGGTGCCCAGCACCTCGCGGGGCCGAAGGCACGTGACGGATGAGACGAAAGGCGGCGGGCGCTGGGGCAGGGCGGGCTAGCAGCGTTTAAGACTCGTGGGCGAATTCGCAGGTCGAAGAGGATGGTGGGCCCTGGGCTAGCCACAAAGTCATGTGCAACCAGGTTAATAAAAAGGAAACATTAAATAATAATAGTGTATTAATCCAAAAAGAAGGCAAGAAGAGAAAAAAAGGAATGTAAGAATAAATGGCCCCAGTAGAAAAATACTAACTGTACAGTAGTCGTAGTCGACACAAGCCCAAATATATTTGTAATTACAACACGTGTAAATTGACCGAACACAGCAAATCGAAGACGAAGATTGTCAGACTGGATAAAAAGAAAAACAAAGTCCGGTTACATGCTGCTTAAAAGAGGCACACTTTACACATAAGAGCACAGAAACGTTGAAAGTAAAAGATGAGAAAAAGCCATGAGAACCATGAAAATACTAATCAGATGAAAGCCCACAGATGTTACAGCCAGATGCATCGCAAGGAATAGAGGGGGACATGTCACGAAGACACAGGGATCACTTCAGCAAACACCACAATCCACCCCATGGTGAAGCCTCAAAATACATGAGGCACAGGACAGAGGTACAGAAGCAGCGGTAGACACAGCCAGCGCTCAGGTGGGAAGCCCTAACTCGTTCTCTCAACCGCAGGTGGGACGAGCAGATGAAACCCCAGCAAGTCCGCAGACGCTCTGGACGCCCGTGGCCCACCTGCCACACACAGGACGTGGCTCCGCCATGACGGACACACACCTCTTCAAGTGTGCGGAGCACGGACCAACACCGGCCAGTGCTGGGCCCCGAGCTCGCCTCAGCAGATCCCTGGGACCGAGGTCCTTCAGAGTGCGTTTTCTAACCACGCAAAATTGAATGGGACTTGATAGCAAAACGACGTCTGTGAAAAACACAACGCCTTGAGATTGCACGGTACACGTACCACCCCCAGCTTTGTCAAAGAGCACAATGGGATTTAGAAAACACCTCAGACTGACTCAGAGAAGGAAAAGGCTACGTATCCAAACTTATGAGACTCGGCTAAGGCAGGGCTTAGAGCACAAAAGCAGCCCCGGACATGAGAAAGCCCAAAAAGCAGGGATATAAGCTTTGGTTTCGAGAAGCCCGACTACAGCAATAAATCACATGCAGGAGAAACGGAAGGGAACAAATAAATAAAACAGCAGAAACCATGATGTTAAAACAAACGTACAGCAGAGGAAAAAACAGAGGCAGACGCTGGTTCCAAAGAAAAGGTCAACAAAACTGATAAACCCCAGAAAGACTTGCTGAGAAAAAGAGAGAAAACACAGATTTCCAAAATCAGCAATAAGACACATCACCAGGACCCTACAGACATCTAAGCTAGTAAGGCAGCCCCGGACATGAGAAAGCCCAAAAAGCAGGGATATAAGCTTTGGTTTCGAGAAGCCCGACTACAGCAATAAATCACATGCAGGAGAAACGGAAGGGAACAAATAAATAAAACAGCAGAAACCATGATGTTAAAACAAACGTACAGCAGAGGAAAAAACAGAGGCAGACGCTGGTTCCAAAGAAAAGGTCAACAAAACTGATAAACCCCAGAAAGACTTGCTGAGAAAAAGAGAGAAAACACAGATTTCCAAAATCAGCAATAAGACACATCACCAGGACCCTACAGACATCTAAGCTAGTAAGGAAATGTTATTTACAGCCTCACTCCGCTACATTTGACAATTTGGATGAAAGGGAAAAATTCCTCAAAAAAACACAACTCACCAAAGCTGACAGAAGTACAGAAAATCTGAATAATTCAATATCTGTTCAAGAAATTGTATCTTTTATTTAAAACATTCCTATAAAGATAACCCAGATGCAATTATCTTGACCAGTAAATTCTTACAAACATTAAAGAGAGAAATAATCAAACTTTCAAAGTTCTTGCAACTCTTTTTTTAAGAGGCCAGATGAACCTGGATATCTGAAACCTGGCAAGGACATTACAAGACAGTAAAGTCTCTCTTGTCAACACGAACAGAAAACTCCTTCATGAAATATTAGCAAGTAAGATCCAGCAATATAAAATGCATGTGTCGAGATGAAGTGGGCACGTCCTGTGTGGTTTGATATTCAAAAGTCACTGCATTTTAACAGAAGGAGAAAAACCACCATAGCACCTTGATAGATGCAAAAAAAAAAAAAAAAAAGGGGGTCTCAAAATTCAACACTCAGTCATGATTTAAAAATTGAGATAGAAGGGAACTTCTTTAATCTGATGAAGAATATCTCTAAAACCTCATAGCAAGCATTACATTGTATGGTAAATAGTACAAAGTTTTCTGCAAGAGTGGAAATTACACAGGAATTCTGATTCTCAGCACCTCTGTTCGATATAGTACATTAAGACTAAAAAAGAAATACAACAAAGAAAGATGGGAAAGGAAAAAATAGAACTGATTATTCACCATCAACATGATTGTGTACCCAGAAAATCATGAAGAGTCGATAGATTAATATTAGAAGTAACATGCACAGTTAGCAAGGTCACTGCTAAAGGCTATTAGGTTGATTGTCGTATAATCCTGCTGACGATGCCAATTGTAGAGCTGGAGCTGGGTCTGGAGCTCCCAGACCCCTCAAGCTCATTCACAAACCCTTCGCATGCAGGTCTAGGAGCTGGGTAACTGGCAAAAAGGTCCCTGGAACCTTGGTTGAAGAAAGAATAGTCTTTATTCAGCACATACACTAAGAGTTAAGCGGTCCACTGGAGAAACTCAGAAACTCAACTGCTACCAGCAAAGTCCACTGAAAAAACGGAGCAGCTGCCAGCAGAGTAAACATGCTCTATTTTTAGATTGAGCTCTGCCAGCCAGCCTGCTTCACACACTGCAGAACACACAATAGCAATTAACTAAAAAGATACATGGGTGCACATGTGCACTAACTCCACCCACACACAACTGGTTTACAAGAAATGTCCAGGGAGCCTGACTAAATTATCCTATTTTCCCTACAGTTGATCTACAAACATTAATTGTATTTCTAGATGCCAGTTACAAACAAGTGGAAAATGAAAAATACTTGAATGATACCCTTTTCAGTAGCATCAAAAAAAAAAAAAAATCTAATACCTAGTGAAATATCTAACAAAAGATGTATAAGACCCTACACAGAAAACTATAAACCTCTTGTGGAGAACTTTAAAAGAAACTGGATAAATGGACCCCCATGTGGGTCAGAGGGCTCCGTGTGGCTCAGCGGCTGATTCTCTCTGTGGGCACAGGGTAAACTCAACCCTCTCTCCTTCAGCACCTGCCCTAGCTCTGCTCCCTGAATGAGCAGCCGGCATTGCTCCCTGCGAAGACGACCTGATCAGTGGTGCAGCATAAACACCTGGCAGGTGACCATGGAGCGTGTGGCTCTCATCAGCCCACATGCCCCTCCTGGGTCCCTGGGTCACACCAGTGCCTGCTCTGCTGGGCATGGAGCTCATTCCCAGGTGGTGAAAGGAGACAAAGGCACTAACCATAAAAGAAAGAAAATGACAAATTGGACTCCACTGAAATTAAGTACTTCTGTTCATCAAAAGGTGCCACCAGGAGTCAAAAGGCCGAGCGGGAGAAGATGCTCTCGGTGGCCACCGCTGACAAGCGTGTTTCCTGCATGTGTGAAGGGCATGTGTCCCTCCCAGTAAGAAAAAAGACAGATGCTGCAGTGGAACAGGCATGAGATTGGAATTTCTCAAAAGGAGATACTCAAGTGGCCAATAAACGTTTTTAATGTTGCTCAAGTTTATCAGTCATCAGGGAAATGCAGAAACTAAAACCACATCCACACACTACCAGACACCCACCAGAATGGCTGAAATTAGAAAGGAGGAAATTACCCAGTGGTGCTGAAGAGATGGGACAGCTGGGCGTCTCACACACATGGAGGGGTGGGGCTTAAGAGTGGCGCAATGACCCCCTCGGAAAGAGTTTGGCAGAATCTCCTACAGCTGAGTGTGTGAATCCCGCACCTGGCAGTCCCACGCTGGGTCTGTGTCCAACAGAAATGCTTCCCCCAGGCCCCCGGAGAACACAGACAGCATGTTAATTGCAGCAGCACTCGTGTGCCACAAAAGGGAAACCATACAGATGCCCACTGCCCACAGCACGGATTGAGAAGTTGTGGCACATGCATGCGTTGGAATCCTCTACGGTGGAGAGGAGCGTCCGCTGCCACGCGTACCAGCCCAGATGGAGCTCACAGCGCAGCATTGGACGAGCAGCTGGCACAGACAGGAAAGCCAGCCTGAGCTGCGAGAAGTCTGTCCTGTCTCCTTTCGGGGAGGAGGGTGGTGGCCAGTGGCGGCCTGTCTTCCGTGGCCATGTGGGTGTGGCCCGCTGTGAAAATCCATCCAGCTTTCTCTTTGTCTATTCTTCTTCAATAGTGAGTTTTCTAAAAACTACTTCATTTTTGCAAACCCAAAGCTCTGAGCATTCATGGCTCGACTGGGGAGGGCTGTGCAAGGAGCGTGGCACCTGCAACCTGCTGACCGCTTGTGAGGGGGTGTGTGGCTGCCTGCTGTTAGCAGTGAGGAGCCCGAACTGCACAGCGTCTGGTGTTAGTTAGAAGCTGTCAGTGCATGGGCTCCACCACGGAGAAGGCGACGGGGCCTGGGTGGACCAGGGCCACACTGAGCTCCCTGAGGCCTGGGGAAGACAGGACCTGCCCCAGGGAGTGTGGGGGAACAGCTGCATGCGTCTGTGCACACGCACTTCTTTATCTTTGCACACGTGTCTGTGTGTGTCTGCACGAGTGTGTGCATCTGTGCACATCTGTGTGAATGTGTGTCTCTGTGTGCACACGTCTGTGTGTATGAATGTTGTGTACAGATGTCTAATGTGTGTCTGCATGAGTGTGTTGTGTACAGATGTCTGTGTGTGTCTGCATGAGTGTGTGTGTCTGTGTGCACATCTGTGTGAATGTGTGTCTGTGCCTGCATGCATCTGTGTGACTGTGTGTGTCTAGGCCCATGAAGTGAAGAAGACGCAAGGGAAGGGGACCGGGGGAAAGACTGTGCTGGTGGACGAGGTGCTGGAGGTGTCCCCTATGTCATGTTGTTTCCGTGCACGTGCACTTCATGTCATGTAGATCAGGTTTCTGACATTAACACCTGGAGGGAACTTGAAACTTCATGTGCCTCTGCTGCTCCCTTGTGGCGGCTATGCATCACCACCAACAGGGGGTCCCCAGAGCCCACCTGCCCCCAGCCCTGGCTGGAAAGACACGAATACCCCGCCCAGGGATCAGCATGAAACCTCCTGCTGTGACATCTCGTGAAAAGCAATGAAAATAACACCTGTGACATCACTGGGTCCTAAATGTGCTTGTGATCCCTGTTTATCATGACACAGGCGTGGCAGAACCTCTGTGTCACGGAACAACACTTCGACCTCTTGAGTGAGATTCCACCTACATTTCGGCTCCTCTTTCTGCACCACTCTCGAGACAGGTGAAGCCTTTTTGCTCCTGTTGCTGTGCCTGCGCCATGCCCTAATGGAGGCACAGACCCAGCCTGGGGCTGCCCACTCAGCCCCTGCCCAGGGCAGCCATGGGATGTTATAAATGCCCTGGCCCGATGACGGCAGGAGAGGGGTAGTCCAGGGACACAGAACGTCCCCACTCCTGTTACTTCTGGGGACAGAATTGCTGATGATGGTCAGGCTGGTATGTTGGGGACAGGGGCACCTCCTGTGATCATCTCCAGCTCAGGAAATGATCCAGGCCTGGGTGGGCCTAGATGCCCAGACCTGAAGGTCCCCATTAAAGTGGAGCAGAAAGCTGAACAGCCTGTCCCGGGCTGCTCTATGGTCTCACCGAGCCCACCGAGCCTCTGGCAGTGACGGAAAAGCCAGACTGCCATGACAAGTGCCTGAAGCTGCCCAGCCTGTTCTAATCCCAAGCCTTGATGTGGCCACACACAGCCTGGGCTTCTGTGGGGAGTGACACCTGTGGGGGGGGTGGTGGCTGACACAAGTGGCCTCATCAGGCTTCTCTGATCCCATGAGCTGGGCTTTGAGCTGTCTCCACTGGGGACATGCTGGTGGCCCCCACCCAATATCCCAACAGGTCCCGTCTATACGGCGCTGCCTATGAGAAACCCAGGCTCCTTCCTGCAGCCAAAGGGAAGACACTGCAAGTGGGAGGTGAGTGATGGGGCCGGTGGGCACAAGAGAGGCAGAGACGGGCTGGTGGCCCAGGTCTGGTGCCCAGCACGCCCCAGGCCTCCCTGCAGATGTGGACCTTTTGCTTAGCAAGATAGAGACCCACCTGGAACCTCCTTCCTCATGGGCATGGCCGTCCCCAGGGGCCTGTTGAGCCCATGGCAGAAGAGGAAATGGGGCGCAGGCTGTTTCCCAGGTCCAGGAGGCAGTGGCTCGCCCCCATCCCCTGAGCTGTCTTCTCTCCACCGCGTTTGGCATATTTTCTGTTTTTCCTTTTTCCCTGTCCTTCCCAGGACCCCCTACATAGGGATGAGTGAGGGGCCAGTTCCTCCCCGTGCACTAGGCCAGGATCCAGGGGCTGTTTGCAGGGAAGGGGGGAGCAGCCCTGGGTAGAGAAGCCCCTCACCCACCACTTACTTTTTAAACTCCAGCACTGACCTCTCAGCCCTGCACAGGAGAGAACGGCTGTGTCTGTGTCTCCTGCAGGCCACTGCAAGGTGTCACGTGTGACTGTGAGCCCCACCGCCCTCTCAGACCTGTTGGCCAGCGCCCAGCAGTTCCGGGAGCAGACCCAGGCCAAGGTGTACAGCGAGGACATAGCCCTGAGCCCAGGCGTGGTGAGCCCCTGAGGCCCCGAACTGCGCTGGTAGGACCCAGCAGGGAGGCGGGTGGGGGCGGGATGCTGGGCCAGGACCTCCCCAGCTGGGTGAGGGGCACTGGCCATCCCCACACCAGGCACTCAGGCACTGCCGGACACCCAGGTCGGGCTCCATGTCTGATCCCACAATCAGACACCTGAGGGGGCTGACACCTCACCTTCGCAGAGCACAGGGTCACCTTGTGCAGCCTGCCCCTGCGGGTGGGACCCACTGTGATGCAAACAGAGGAAACAGGTGGGGGCTGGGGGTGTCAGGGTGGCCTCCGGAGGATCAGCCAGGAGAAGCCGGCGGGAGCGCTGCGCAGGGAAGGCAGGCGGGGCGCAGGGGGCCGAGCCGCGCCCCCCACCAGGCTGTTTCTAGAAGGGGAAGCCTCGGCCCTTTCCTTGAGGTCTTGCCCTGTCTTTGCTCTGAACTGGACAGGGGTTTGGGGGTCTTCTTGACACGTTCCGATTGCGGCTGTTGTTTGGGTTGACGTAGGAACTGGGCGGCGTGCACCTTCAGGAGAAGGAGGACTGTCTGCGGACCCTGAGCAGCGTCCTGAGGCCCCTGGAGGAGTACCTGAGGCCGCTGTCCCCACTGCTGCGCTGCCCCGAAGCCAGGTGCCTGCTGACGGCACTCGATCCCTGACAGCGCGTTAAGGGACTGGCCAGCTTCCCGGCTCACGGAGGGGGACGTCAGAGTGGCCTCAGGGCTGGTGCTGGCCGTGGAAGGCGAGGGAGGCCTGTCAGAGCCCCGGGCGACAGAAGTCAGCTCCTCCCAGAGACAGGCAGCCGCGTCTCCTTCCTACAAGTTCCTGGGCCAGCGCCAGCGCCGGCAGAGGCTGTGACGGGCAGACGGGGAGAGCTGATGGCAGCTCTGGGCCGCCAGTGGGGTGGGTGGAAAGTGCACGGTCGTCTTCCTCTGCTGTCACTCCAGCGTGGACTCGTCCCCTGCCATCGTGACGCTGCGTAGCAGGCCCAGCATGGTCCCTCTGTGCAGGGACTCCAGATGCGGCGGCTCCATCCTTCCGTCACTGGGAAGGAGCCCTCGTCCCTTTCATTTCAGATCTTTCCCACACTCATGACCCCTCTGCCCTTTGACCCCTGGTCCAGGTGTGGGCTGGGAGGGGTGGGCGCATCGAGGGTCCAGCCCCTTTGGCTGGTTTTTAGGAAGGAAGGCAGAAGTGATGGCAGGCGCTGCTCGTTAGACCCCCAGTAGGTCAGAGACGATCCGAATCCTCTGGGCTCCTGCGGCGGCAGCTGCCCGGCCCCTCCCCGCAGAGCACTCCCGCCAGCGGCCCGCGGTGCTCACTGCCGAGCGGCGAGCTTTGTGTTCTTAGTGGATGCTGTTTTCTTCTGTTTTTAAACCTGAATTCATACCTTTGACCTGCAGAGTGCAGATGCCCACAGTTGTTGTGGATTCGGGGAAACCAAAGGTCAAAGATAAGGAAAGGAAAATGTCCACACCACAAGGTGAGTGCAGCAGGACGGCCACCCCGAGTCCCCTGCTCTCTCGGCCTTATGGGCTTGCTGCCCTGCAGGACGCTGGGCTGGGATCCACCCTCCACCTGGGAGAGCCTGTGGGCAGAAGCCACGGCCTGTGTCCCAGTGAGCCCTGTGCAGGAGCCCAGCACCAGGCCCTGCCAGCCCTCCCGCTGAGGTCTCCCAGTGTGCTGGGCGCCCACAGGGTAGGTGGGAAGGCTCCGGAGCGTTCTGTGCACAGCCGCTGACCAGCGCAGTGGGTAGGGGCTTGGTGCAAAACCTCTCTGATAGCGCCATGAAACCCAGCAAACCTACCCTTCCGTGGTGACTGGTCAGTGCTCACCATGCCACCAGTTCATGCTCAAGAGTAATAGTGTTGTGATCTTGTGTGACATCAAACTGAGCTTCACCACCTGCATGTCCACATCCCAAATGAACATGCAGGAAAAACGGATGGAGAGGTCGTGCAATCAGATGGATTACAAGGTTTTTCTTGAAAAGATGCAAAGTCATCGTCAGCCCTGCCCTGGGAGCTGTGTCCTGAGGAATCCACTGGGAAAGACAGTACCCCACTGCCCCGTGTGTGGGGCTGTGCTGGCTCCGCCACCTTGTTTCCACCTTCAGTGCAGACCCTGTCGTCTTTTACTGGACTTGGGAAGAAATGTTTAAAGCGTGCTCACACATGCCCCAAGTCCCCACAACTAGAGAGGAGTATTGAGTATCTGTGAGGTCTCTTTTCATCTCCTGCACCTTTGATTTTATAAATCACTCTTTCTAAAGGTAGTTTCATTTGCTAAATTTTCATTTGTCTACTTTTCTATCTCCCACAAAGAATTATTGAGCAGAGGACAAAGGGGATGGTTAGTTACTTTGCCAAAAAGAGCTTTGCTTTCCAAACGCGCCCAACACTGAGCTGCCCGCAGCAACCCCAGACACTGACATTTAGAGCTAAAGTTCCCAAGTGCCTTCCAGTTCCACATCCATCAGAATGGAAGATCAAGGGTTTGGGGATCGTACGCACTCGTTAGGAGAACATGTTTCTCCTTTTACACTCCACTGGCAGCCAGAGTGTTCCTACCTGGGGCCACTTACATGAATGGAGACTCTGCCCTAAAAGTTCCCTGCATCAAGATAAGAAAGGTCGCCTCTCAGTTTAAGCAAACTTATTTTTGTTTTGTAAATAAAGTCAGTCCAGTTAAGGTGCCTTAGTGGCTTCACCCTTTAGTACCAGTTGGGTTTGTCAAAAAGAGCAGGTCACCCGGAGAAGCCCTTTCCCCTCTGCAGGGGCTCCCACCAGCAGCCAGGCCCACTTATGGAAAGTCTTTGGGAGGAAGGTTGTGCAGTCTTCACCCCGGTTAAAGGAGACACAGCATCACAGCCCTGCCTCAGGAATCAGACATCCGAGCTAGGGCTGGGCCCTGAGCCATGGACCTGGTGCCCACTACCGAGAGAGATGGGGGCTCTCTCCAGGTCCGAGCTGTGAGCTCAGCCATGCCATCAAAGCTAGTGTCCACACCCAAGGAGGTGCTGCATGCCCCCGGGGACCCACCTCTCTGAAAGCTGTGCTGAGCCAGACTTTTCCCCATGCCTCCATGCTGTGGCAGATGCTAGGGCCAGGCCAAACAAGGTCGGAGCTGGAACTGACTCAGCTCCACGCCTGGATCTGCCCTGTCCCTGCTCCTCCATCTCAGCCGCTGTTGTTTCAGCATCCACAGACCAGCCCGAGGCTGCAGATTACGTGATCCTGATTGTGGACAGGCATTTTCTGGAGCTGCCACTGGAAGGTCTCTCTGTGTTCAATGAAGGGACGGTTTCCTCGGTGTCACGAGAATTTTCTCTCCAAATATTGTGCAATCGCCTCCACAAAGAAGAAACAGGTAAGAGCTGCCCTTCGCCACATCAGTGTTTGATCCCTGCACCGGCCAGCCACTAGAATGTATAAATTTATAAAATGGAAATATTTAAATTACTTTTCAGATAAGAGACTGTTAACTCCTGTTGAAAACATAATCATCATATGTTGCAACATTTTTCTAAGCACTTATTCATTCAACAATACTTATAGAGTATAGATACTCAAAGATATTGTAGAATAGGTACTATGTGCCAGTATTCTGTTGGGTCCTAAATGTATAGTGAAGAACATAAACACTGTTCTCATTTCACAAATAAGGGGCCAGTAGTAACAATCAGCTGCATGATTTATCATGTAACTGGACGGTGAGGAACAAAGAGGGAGTGGACCATGGGGCTGGCATAGGCCTGGGGGGCTGCTGAGGACTTGGGATGAGTCTGTTGCTACTGGTCACTGGTCACACGGAAGTGCCCACTTGTGAGAGTCCTCCAAGCCACACACGTGTGGTACATGCAGTTTTCTGCATGTACGTTGTACTTCAATAAATGCAAAATTAGATTAACAATAAGTAGATTGGATTGTAGCTTCCAAGGTTTAGTAACAAGGACCAAATTTGTCCTTCCAACTGAAACTGAAAAAGCAAACAAAATACATGAAACAAGGGTTGTCAGGCATTGGACAGGAGGCAGTGCTGGCCAGTGCACGTCCTGCAGAGAGCTTCCAGGCCACAGCTCGAGCCCAGGGGTCTCCGTCAGTGAGGAAGGTGGAGCTGCAAGTCTGGGAATACTGAGGCAACTAGCATTTGCAGGGCAGGACTCTAGGGAGATGAGCACTGCACAGACAGGAACACTCCAGAAACCTGCCGTGGCTCCTCGTGAGCTGAGAATGGCCAGTGTCTGTGTGTGAGGAAACTGCCCAAGGTCGGGGCAGAGATAAACACTGCAAGTGGTCAAATCATGGGTAAACATTGAAAACCTTTTTCTCATTTAAAAAATCTCTTTAAAAACTTTTAAGCAAAAAGTTTAGAGCAAACAAAAATAATAACAATTGTGGGGTTTTATAGCCCATGATTGAAAATGTATGAGTACGAGAGAACACAGGCTGGGAGGGAGGACATGGAAGCAGAGTGTCATGACATTGTCATGCCGTCCATGAAGTGGAGTGACATTACCTGAGGGTGGACCGTGAGAATTCAATTAAAGATGTTAACTATAAACCCTCAAGCAACCACTAAAAGCAAAACTGGAACAAAAACAAACACAAATGGCTCACAGCTAATACATCAATGAATTAGATGAAATGGAATCATAATACATAGTTAATCCCCAAGAAAGACAGAAAAAAAGGAAAATGGAACAAAGAACAGGTAGGAAAAATTGAAAACAAATAGCAAGATGACATATTCCAACCCAGCCATGCCAATAATCACATTAAATGTAAATGGTCTAAATATCCCAGTTAAAGGGTACAGATCATCTGATTGAATAAAAACACAAGACCCAAAACTTTCTTTACCCAAGAAACCCAGTTTATGTAAAAAGGCAATGATGGATTAAAAAGAAGGATGTAAATATACATTCCATACTATCAAAAGAAAGCTGGCATGGCCAAATTAAGTCAGAAAAAGTAGATTTCACAGGTGAGAATGTGATCAGGGATATAGAGGGTCATTTCCTAATGATGAAGAGGTTAATTCATGAAGAGGACATAAAATCCTAAATGTTAATATGTCTATCAACATAACTGCTAAATACATAAAACAAAACTGATGGAACCGCAAGAAAAATCAGTAAATACTCAATGACAGCTGGAGAGCTCAGCGTCCCTCCCCAGTAGTGACAGAACAAATAGGCACAAAACCAGCAGAACACAGGAGACTTCAGCTTATCCACTGATCTCGCCCATTGACGTTTCATGAAATGCCACCCAGTGACAGAGTGCTCGTTGTTCTCTCAGGCACACGGACATTCGACAAGACAGACATTAGCTGGGCCGTAAAACCAGCCTCTAACATTTTAAAGGATTCAAACTATGCACGGTAACTTCTCTGACCACAATGGAGTTAAACTAGAAACTAATAACAGAAAAATCTCTGGAAAATCTTAAATAATGGGAACTAAATATACTTCTAAATAACCGACGGATAAAGGAAGAAATTAAAAGGGAAATTTAGAAGATATTTTGAACTAAATGAAAGTGAGAACGCAGCATATCGTTATTGGTGGGACGCCCCGATGCACTGGTTAGGGGGTTTCTGCCACGAAGAAAAAAGGCCTCGGAATCAATGGTCTCTATTTCTATCTTCAGAAATTAGAAAAAGAAGAGCAAATTAAACCCAAATAGCAGAATAAGCATCGGAAAAAACCAGAGTAGAAATCATTGAAATAGGAAATGGAGAAAGAACAGAGAGAACCAACAAAATCAAAAGCAAGTTCTTCGAGATGATCAGAAAAATTAACAAACCTGCAGTCAGACTGATGAGGAAGGAGAGAGAAGACAGGAATGATCCGTATCAGAAATGATGGCGGTGATGTCGCTACAGATTCAAGAGCTAAAGAGCAGATATCACTAATAATTTTGTGCTTATAAATTAAATTACTTAGATGAAAAGGACAAATTCCTTGGAAACACAAGCTACCAAAGCTCAGTCAAGAAGAAATAGATGACCTGGATAGGCCTGGATCTGTTAAAGGAACATAATTTCTAGTTTAAAATCTTCCCACAAGGAAACACCTCTACTCCCAAATGGCTTCTACACACATTCTTTTACAGAAATTGAAGAGGAAAGACTACGTCCCAACTCATTCCAGGAGGCCAGTGTTATCCTGATACCAAAACCGGGAAAACACATTATGAGACAAAAAAAAAAAAAATGCAGAACCAATATTCCTCATGAACATAGATGCAGGCGTTCTTAGCAAAATTCTAGTAAATAGAACAGAGCGATGAATTAAAAGGATAGTGTCGTGTCCACGTGTATTTTACTCCAGGAATACAAGGGCAGTTTAATATTCAAAATATCAACCAGTACAATTCACTGTATTAGACTAAAAGACGAGAACTATCTGACGATTCCAATACATGCAGAAAACACTTGACAAAATCCAGTGTCCATTGCTAGCTCATGAACTCCCAGCAAACCAGGAGGAAGGGAGGCTCCCCCGCCTGGTAGGGACACGTACAGGAGCCGACGCCTGCGTGGGGACTCTCCTCCAGGACAGCGGCGGGCAGGGGCGCCCCTGCTCTCCACGCCGGGTCAGCACTGCACGGGGGCTGCAGCAGCCGAGGAACGGTGAGCACAAGGACAAGACAGCACCGGACGGGAGAGTCGGGCGTAAGACCGTCTTAACCTGCAAATGGCATCGTCTACGCAGAAAATGTGCCTAAAAAGTAAAAAAAGCTGGTATAACTAATACGTGGGTTTAGCAAGGTTCTAGGATCCAAAACTCAATATTCAGAAATCTGTCGTATTCCTGTATGCTGCTAATGATCAGAAACTGACATTTCAAGCCGCACCATTTATAACAAGCTGGTATAACTAATACGTGGGTTTAGCAAGGTTCTAGGATCCAAAACTCAATATTCAGAAATCTATCGTATTCCTGTATGCTGCTAATGATCAGAAACTGACATTTCAAGCCGCACCATTTATAACAGCTTGGGAGCGGGCAGGGGACTGGAGTCGGTCAGAGGATACAGCACTTCAGTCCGCATGAGAAATAAGTTCGAGAGGTCTACTGTGCAACACGCTGACTGAGGTTAATAATAGCGTGTTCTCGAAAGTTGCTGGGACAGCAGATGTTAGGGGTCCTCACCACAAGGAAACGGTGGGTGTGTGGGGTGATGCGCATGTCTGGTTGGCTGAATCTGGCCATTCCACAGTGTATACATGTTTTGGAGCAGCATTTTGAGCATGATAAATATGTACAGTTTAGGTCTGTCAATTAAAAACATGAATAAATAAATAAATAGTAAAATAAATTTTAAAAAATAAAAAGATTGACTATACCAAGTGTTGGCAAGGATGTGGAGGGACGGGAGCTCTCCTACACTGTGGTGGGATCGATAAACGGCAGAGCCACCTCGAAAAGCGGTTAGACGTAGGCCGGCCGGACAACCCACCGGCTCTGTCCCAGCTCTTACCAACAGATGAGCAAGCACGTTCCACACCAGAGCTTGCACAGCATCTGACGGACATTCCAGCGCCTGTCAGATGGATAAGCAAATCCCAGCATGCCATGGAGTAGGACTCAGCAATAGACAGCAATGAACTACTGGTACGCGCAACAGCATGCATGGGTCACAGAAGAGTTGTGCCGGTGGAAGAAGTCAGATTTAAAAGAGAGTACCCAGTGAATGATCCACTTTACAGAATTTTAGAAAATACAGACTAACCTGTAGTTCAGAAAACAGAGGTAGCTTCCTGGGGCCGGGGCTGCGGGAGATGAAGAGGAGGTTACAGGAGCGTTTGAGTCAGCTCTCGGCGCTGGGTCCGTGCACAATCTTGACTGTGATTCACGGGTGTGCACGTATGTCAAACCCTATTGAACTGCACACTTCAGACAGACCTAGTTTATTGTCGTCAATTATACCTTAACAAAGCTAAATGTAGACTATTTCCTGTGCAGTGCTCTGAGACCCTTCCTGTGTCCCAAAGTCCTCATTCAGTCTCCCGTACTCACTAATGCTTTTTATGAGTGGAATCTTACAGAAAATACAGAAGAAGCAAAATTTGTATCAGGGTCACCAGAGCTAGGGGGAGGGGACGCACACGGGAAGCTGTCCCTGAGGAAGGCCGAGTCTGTGGAACAGCAGCCCCGACAGCTGCAATATTCCGGGGAGGACTTTGGACCTCGAGGGGTGTGGAGCAGCTCTTGCAGCCCCCAGTCTCCTTCTGAATCTGGTTCACTGGATCCACATCCACCCCCTGGCCAGCTCCCTCGCGGTCAGCCCCTTCCAGGACCTCGACTGGGCCTCTGGGAGCACCCCGCCTTGTCCCTCACGGCTCTCCCTGGGACAAGC